CCCCGGGCCCTCCCCCACCCGCCCCCCGCCAGCCTCACTTTTCCTCAGCGGTACCGGCGCCTCCGCGCCTCCGGGACACACCTGCCCTCTCCGCCCTCCCCGGTCCCCGCCACCTGCCGCGTCTCGGCGCGGAAGGTGTTTCCGCGCGGCTTACCTGCGCGGGGCGCCCCGGGCCCGGTCAGCTAGCGGGGAGGAGGCGGCCACTCAGGCCCCGGCGCCTCAGCGACGTCGCCGACTCCTCAGCAGCCGGGAGCCACAGCCGGGGCGGGGCCCTCACCGGAAGCGGCGCCGCGGGGCCTGAGGGGCCGCCGGCCCGGGGCGGGGCTCCAGGAAGGGGTGTGGCCCGGTACCGGAAGACGCTAAAAATGGAGCTGGGGGCGGGGCGAGACGGAAGCTCCGCCCAGGAACGGGCCCGCCCACCCAGTGGAGAGCGGAAGTGGCTTGAGGCGGGCGGAAGGCTCAGCCAGTAGGGAGGCGGAACAAAAAGGACTTCCGGGGGTGGGGCTCCTCCGCGGGGAGTCGGGAGGCGCTCGGCGGGGTGCGCGCGTGCGGCGGCGCGTCCTGGGCACTCGCGGTCGCCGACGGGGCTGGCGATCCTCCCCGGGTTTCTGCCGCGAGGCCGACCTTTCTCTCGGCGTGGCGGCTTTTCCCGGGACGCCTGCGCGTCTAGGGCCGAGGCCGGATCGTCCCCTCGGGTGCCGCGCCCCCCCCGGGGACACCCCCCCCCCGGGATGTGTGTCCTGACCATCGGGTCCCCAGCGCCCCCTGGCAGACGTGAGGGCCGCTGGCGGCTGTGCACCTGCCGGCTGTGTCGGAGCTCGGGTGGAGAAGCCATGCCACGGCGGGCGTCGTCTCTGACTAAACCCCGGGCCTGGTCACCTGGGCCTCGGGCTCGTCGTGAATCGGTTCGTACGGCCACGCACAGCCTGCTGATCCTCCGGGCTTCGCTGCCGACTTCTCTTTGCTTTGATCGGTTGTGAGGCTTGAACCCAGCCTGGACGCCGTCCCTGATCCTCGTTGTGCTCAGAGCTAATGCTCTAGCTAGCGCTGGAGCCACAGCACCACTACCCCGTTTTTGAGGTTGGAGATTAGAGTCTCACGGGAACATTTCTGCCCGGGCTGGCTTTGAACCTTGATCCTCAGGTCTCAGCCTCCTGGGCCACCGGGGCACACGGCAGTAATTATTCTTTCAACCTTATCAGAACCTCTAATCTGCCAGAGCCCCTACTTTATCTGTTAACCTCCCCCACTCATTTAAGGACACATAATTCTGATTATAATCCCACTTGGACTCACGCCCTAACACTCCCCATGTCTCTAACTAAGCCCCCCAACCCTACAAGGACCAACAGATCTCTCCATACTTGCACCTTGTCATAGAAAATGGTACTGTAGTCAGGCCTGACAGTACCTGCCTGCAATCCCAGCACTCACTGGGGCAGGCTGGGTGTAGGGACTCCTGGTGGTAATCTTAGCCATTCTGGAGGTTGAGATCTGAGGATCACAGGTTTGTAGGCCGCTGAAGCAAGCAAGCGCAAAGGATTTCTCCCTTAACCAGCAAAAGGGTGGAAGTGTGGGTCCAATGTTAGCACATCAGCCTTGAATGGAAAAGCTGAGGGACAGCACCCAGTGCCCTCAAGGGTCTTTACTAGTTTGGGGTACAGGAAAACAAATGAGTGTAAGGGATACCCATGAAGAACAAAGGAGGGTGGGGATTGAGGGGATTGACCTGAGGAATGGGGTAGCAGATATTTTTAGATGTTAGAGAACTCTGTGATAAGGAAGGAGCTTTCAAACAGAAGCTGGGAATGACTTGATAGTAGAAAGTGTCTCCGTTGATGAGACCAAATTTAAATTCCCCAAGGCAGGAATAGAAAGGAGATCCCTACGGTTAACACAGAATATATGGGATTGGGGCTGGAAGATGAGATTAGAGCAGTACCAAGGGGCCAATCATGTGGGACCTTAGGGGAAACAATAATGCCAATCACCACCAAAACCTCTGTTTACTATAGAGAATTTATTTTAGAGAAAAGTAGCTTTGATGGGCGCCTGTGGCTCATGCCTGTATCCTAGCCACTCAGGAGGTTGATCTGAGGATCATAAGCCAGCCCGGGCAGGAAAGTCCCTGAGATTCTTTATCTCCAGAAAACTGGAAGTGGCGCTGTGGCTCCAGTGGTAGAGTGCTAGCCTTGAGCTGAAGAGCTGAGGGACAGCGCCCAGGCCCAGAGTTCAGGCACCACAACTGACCAAAAAAAAAAAAATGTAGCTTTGAAGCAGGGTTCCAGTGGCTAACAGCTATAATGCTAGCCATCTTACTGTATAAAATCTCCCTTCCAGGGCTGGGAAGGTGGCTCAATGATAGAATACTTGCCTTGTATACACGAGGTCCTGGGTTCGATTCCTCAGCACCACATAAGCCGAAAAAGTCAGAAGTGGTGCAGTGGCTCAAGTTGTTAGAGGTTAGCATTGAGCTGAAGAGCTGAGGGACAGCGCCCAGGCCCAGAGTTCAGGCACCACAACTGACCAAAAAAAAAACAAAAACAAAAACACTCCCTTTTTCGTGCTGATACTGGCACTTGAATTTAAGATCTTGTATTTGCTAAGTAGGTGCCCTAACCTACTGTTTGAGCCATGCTTCCTGCCAATGTTTGAAGCTGCTTTTTTTTTTTTTTTTAGCTTGGTCATTATGCCATTTGACATCTAGCTAATTGCCAGGCATTACAAGTATGATCTTTTTAGACCAATTAACCTGTCAGTCATCAGATTTGAATCAGACCCTTCTAGAATATCCAATTTCTACTGAGCTGACACTACAGTTCCCCAGCAAACCCACAAAATAATGAAAAATGTTTGGCTTATAGTTGTGTGTGCTTTCCTTTTTTTTTTTTTTTGAGACGGTAATGGGGTTTAAGTTCATGGTCTTGTGGTTGCTAGGCAGATGCTGTACCACTTGAACCATTCCTCCAGCCCTTTTTTTAATTTTTCAAATAAGGTCTGGTACTTTATCCTGAGGCAAGCTTCAGTCTTCAGTTCTCTTACCTAAGCCTCCTACATAGCTAGAATGACAAGTGTGCACCACCATGCCTGGCTTGTTGGTTGAGAAAGGGTATCATTAACTTTTTGCCTGAACCACAATCCTTCTGATCTCTGCTCCTGAGTAGCTGGGATTACAGGTGTGAATTGCCATGCAGGAGTGCTTTGTTGTTGATAGGGTCTTGCTAGATAGCTCAGATTAAGAGCAAACTCATTATCTGCCTCCTCCAATCTCCTCTGAGTGCTAAGATTACAAGTGTGTAATAACCACACTCAGCATCAGTAAGTTTTGAGATGGTTTTCTTTTCTTTTTTTGTTGGTTGCGGGGCTGGAACTCTGGGCCCGGCTGCTGTCCCTCAGCATGAAAGCTCAAGGTGAGCTCTGTACCATGTGAACCACAGTGCCACTTCTAGGTTTTCTGGTGCTTTATTGGAGATAAGAGTCTCACAGACTTTTCTGCCAGGGCTGGCTTTGAACCACAATCCTCAGGCCTCAGTCTCCTGAGTAGCTAGGATTATAGGTGTGAGCCACCAGCACCCAGTGGTCTTCTTTACAATAAAAGAAAACTGGTGCCAGGTGCTGGTGGCTCTCACCTGTAATCCTAGCTACTCAGGAAGCTGAGATCTGAGGATCGAGGTTCAAAGCCAGCCCGGGCACAAAAGTCCGTGAGCCTCATCTCCAATGAACCACTGAAAACACAGGAAATGGTGCTGTGGCTCAAGTGATAAAGCGCTAGCTTTGAGCTGAAGAGCTGAGGGACAGCACCCAGGCCCAGAGTTCAAGCCCCAGGACTGACAAAAAAAGAAGAAAACTAGTATACAGGGATTTTTTTCTTTTCATTCACTGGGATGGTTTTGATTTCATACTCAGAGCTGCTGAAGAGGGAAGACTTCATTATTTATCTTTATGTAGTTGGCCTTTGTTTTATTACGTTACTGTAAGGTCTCTCATTAAATTTCTTTCTTTTTGATGATACTAGGGTTTGAACTCAGGGCTTCATGCTTAGAAGACAGGTACTCTACCATATATACCACACTTTCAGCCTTTTTTGGGGGTTATTTTTTTAGATAAGGAGGTCTTTAATGTTTTCTTTTTTTTTCTTTCCTACTGTCAGCTGGGATCTATAATCTGCCTACCTCTTGCAATTCCAGTAGTTGCAGACAGTTCCACCATGCTGGCTTGTTTGTTGAGATGGAGGGAGGGCTCACTTTCTGTCTGAGCTAGCCTTGAATCGCAGTCCTCCCTGTCGCTAACTCTGAGTTGCTGGGATTGCAGGCATTAGCTTCTGAGCCAGCAATGGTGTGGGCTTCTTCTTCTTTTACGTTTTTTTTTTTTTTTTTGCCAGTCCTGGGGCTTGAACTCAGGGCCTGGACACTGTCCCTGAGAACTCTACCATTTGAGCCACAGTGCTGCTACTGGCCTTTTCTATTTATGTGGTACTGAGGAACCGAACCCAGGGCTCCATGCATGCTAGGCAAGCACTCCACCCCTAATCCCCATTCCCAGCCCATGGGTTTCTTCTTGCCCTGAGCTACAGGGGTATTCTCAGAGCGTCTATATCTGCATGTGTAAATCCTCTGCTGAGTAACTGGTATAAAATAGTAACCTTGTGCTGAGAAAGAATGTGACAGGGGTCACTGAAGGAGGTGTGTCAAGTTAACATGTTCCTTGGGAGGCCTGTGTGATGGGGTGGGGGTGGGGGGTGTGGACACCCTTGAAATGTTATCTGTTACCTTATTGATCTTCCTATTGCAAGGGGATATCCTACGGATCTGCCTGCTGGATCCCCTCTTCACCTAACTGTCTGGATTTAAATTCAGACAAATGGGGTGGTGGTAGTCAGCTTCTTTAATCCCTGCACTGGGAAAGTTGAGGGAAGGGGAGATGGAGTTAAGGGCCACAGTGGGCTCTATAGGGAATTTTTGGTTTCTGTGGGAAGGCAACCACCCAACATTGGTGAAAGGGCAGTGCCTGGTCATTGAGGCGTAGAGCTGAGGGGTTGGGATTACAGGTGTATGCCACCATGCAAGCTCCCATTTGGGAATCTGATTCAGAAACCTTATCTTTGGGACTTCAGGGCTGGAAATGTGGCTTGCTTAGCCCTGGGTTTGATTCCTCAGTACCATATACACAGAAAAAAAAAAAGCTGAAGTGGTGCTGTGGCTCAAGTGGTAGAGTGCTAGCCTTGAGCACAGAGAGGCTCAGGGACAG